GATGCTAACATGTGGATTGGTGGTTTGTTTGTATTGTTGAGTGTGTTATTTTTTGTGATAAATTGTGATTCTAACATGTGGGTTGGTGGTTTGTTTGTATTGCAATCAATGGCAAATGTGCGTGCAATGAAAAATTACTGTTATTGTAAGTGAAATTTTGATTCCTAGAACATAGCGAAAACTTAATGATATAGTACGTTTGATTGACAATTTATATAGAAATTCTCTACTCATAATCTTGTTCAAAATTTTCGTATAATTTCTTAGTTAGGAGCTCATTTTTGTGCTTCACATAATAATTGAATGGCATGATCCCCAAGGATGATACCAAGTGGTTTGTTAAGGGGTGCAAGATGTTTGGAACGATATGCTAACAAATTGGCTAATTATGATGAGTTATTGTGCTTGACCTGGGTAATTGTTGAGGTAAGCAATACAGCAGTAGATCTAACTGATTCATTGAAACATGAAGTGAGGGAGCTTGGCCGCATATCATTGAAACGAGCATTTTTTTTTTATCCATCACACCTATTTTTCATTCAAATACTTAGAGAAAATAAGGTCATTATAGGTTTTAAACACAAGGACACATTCAAAATAATGAATTTATAACACTGTGCATTCTTCATTAGATTATGAATACCGTGGGAAAGAAATCCTGGCTATGTGATGAACTCATAATCATCACATAGTTGATTCAATAGAAATTCCCATTAGCTAGTTGCATTTTGGATGTGCTTATTCTCATGTGCTACGTAGACGTCGTAGACATTCTCTTACCATTTTGTTGTTCGTTTTTTACATGTGCAGATAGAAGTGGAAACTATCCACGCTTGAAAACCAGGTAGCTTCTTTTTACTTCAATGTGTTTATAAAACTACGCTTATTGTTACTCATTTCATCTTTGCGCCTTTTATGTATTTTCTTAACGTGATTTCTATTTATAATTTTTTGTTTTGCAGCACAGGTGGTCTTGCCTTCCCTTCATAGAAATTCAGTGTTGGCTTTCTTCATTTCTATACTTGGATGCATGAGATGATAATTTGGAGCCTTCATGCTACTTAAGCTGATAGATATCTTGTTCTTATATAACTAGGATTATCAACTGGTGCCATAGCTGGAGTTTCAGTTGCATGTATAGTAGTAGTGCTGTCATTAGGAGGTTGCTTATATTTTGGAATTTACAAGAACAAGAAGGTGCAGAACACTGTAATGGTCTCAACAGCACCTGTAGGTCAATCTCGTCATGCTGCTCATGGTAATTCTCAATATTTCCTTTCTTTTTAGCTTTTCAATCTGTTTCTTTGGACTGTTACATTTGAAAGGGGTGCTCCACAATGCCTTTTTTTCCTGGATAGCCAAACATGTCGTGCGCTTCCTGTTGGACTGTTTTAAGGGTCTGACTAGATAGTTTGGCTTCTTATGAGCTTGACTTCTGGCCCATTTTGAGGCTAATGAAATGGATACGCAATCAGCAATAGCATCAGGCCACAGGATAAAAGGCATATAACATCTGTCATCAAGCATCGATAACTTTAGTTGCAAGGTTGCGGTATTTTTGGTTTTATAAAGTATATGTGCCTTGGTTTGATAAAGAGAATTTGTAAATCATTCACAGTGTGATTTATACATATTCTCTGCAATATATCAGATGAACTTGGTGCCTGTGAATTGTTAATTTGTTTTATGATTACAAAATAACTTGATCGCTAAAGCTTCAAGCAAGCTTCTCATAGATTCCTAGTTTGCCTCTCTTATGCAAGAGAATATGACCAATTTGGTGATTGTACATGGGTTCACTGATCATTTTTTTTGCTCTCTCCCGAGGTAAGCTTCTGGAGGTCCTGAAGCTGCGGGGTCCACTGGGTTTGCTGGTGCTTCTCCACGTCTTACTGGCATAACTGTCGACAAATCTGTGGAGTTCTCATATGAAGAGCTTGCGAAGGCTACTAAGGACTTTAGCATTGCTAATAAAATTGGTCAAGGTGGCTTTGGTGCGGTTTACTATGCCGAGCTCAGAGGCGAGGTTTGTAGCCATTATTATTATCATTTAACAAAACAAGGGAAAACTGGGAAATTGCATGCTGTTCCTTTGATTAATAATGAGTTGCGATTGATCTTAGCTGAGTTTTGTGAGTAATCACATTATGTGTCGACATTAAGTAAGCTTTATTTTGTGATGTCCTTTCTTTGGTGTATGTATGAAGTTCATCAAGGAATGGCTTTTTATGGGACAACTCTGGTGATCCCATTAATCAGGGAAGATGAGAATGTCAGTATGGCCTCACTTATCAAAATATTATTTTGAGTAAATCTTATTGAAGCATAGTTCAGAGTGGGTGAAGAGTACAGTTGCTAAATGATTTGATGCTTATTGAAATGTCCTTTGTCGACATACTCTCCCATGAATTAGTATTTCAATGGTGACGTCATACTAATTTCTGATGTTTAGTGTCAATATTATTTTTAGTGACTTTGCCTATCTACTTTTATGCAGAAAGCTGCAATCAAGAAGATGGATATGCAAGCATCAAGAGAATTTCTAGCCGAGTTAAAGGTTTTAACGCATGTTCATCACCTGAACCTGGTAAACTATTTTTCCAGGCAATATTGGTCTTTTTCTTTAGAGGCTGTCGCTCTTTTTTTTCTTTCACATTGACATTTGAGTTCCAATTCATCTAGAGTATTGTTTTCACAATAGATGGGATTTTGATTTCAGGAAGTTTTTGACTGTCCTCTTGTATGTGTTGTTTGCTAAGTTTTGCGGGTGATTGCAAGCATCTAGAGTTTGTCTTGTAGTCATGAGTTTGAACGATATGCATAGTTGGAACGGTTTTCCATTATGAAAATCAAACTAAAATATTAGGAGTGAGACATTACCACCCCTCGGCCAAAACCAGGCTAACTGGTAATCAGCTTATATGACCAGATTGTGTGGCAGTACAATTCAGATGATATGCTGGAACTAATAAGTTACCTTAATAAACACTAGAGAAATATGAGTCAAAAAGGGATACTGAAATTAAGAGTAGAGCCTCATATATATATCCAAAAATAATACAGAGTGACTTAAACATCCTTGTAGTTTAGGCAAAATATAAAAATCATAGTAAGGGTAAAAAAGGGAAAAGAAATCCTAATAAACTAGACTATCTATACTCCAACACTCCCCCTCAAGCTAGGCGCATAAATGTCAACTAAGCCAAGCTTGACAACGGAGTTCCGAAGAATAGACAGAGTGACAGGTTTGATAAAAACATCCGCAACCTGATCATTGGTCCTCACAAACGATGGAGTAACAAGACCACTGCTGACCTTCTCCCGAAGAAAGTGAACATCGATCTCTATATGCTTCGTTCTCTCATGTAGTACAGAGTCAGAAACGAGCTGAATAGCAGATTAATTATCACAATATAATGTGGATGGAGAGGTCACTGAAAAACTCAACTCGCCAAGAATTGATCGTAGCCAGATAATCTCACACGTGCCAAGTGTCAATGCCCGATACTCTGCTTCTGCGAACGAGCGGGAGACAACTGTCTGCTTCTTGCTCTTCCAAGAGATAAGATGGGTCCCTCGAAAAGCACAGAAACCCGTAATAAATCGACCATCACATGAACCCCCATAATCTGAATCTGAATAACAGGTTAGAGAACAGGTCTGAGATCCTGATGCATAAAACAACCCAAGTCCAGGACAAGACTTGAGGTACCGAAGAATATGATAAACTGCATCAAGATGAGACTGACATGGCTTATGCATGAACTGACTAACTCGGCTGACTGTGAATGAAATGTCTGGCCTAGTATTGGCTAAGTAGATAAGTCTACCTATCAATCTTTGATAAACTGTCGGATCTTTCAACTCCTCACCTTCAGCAGTAAGCTTCAGGTTTGGAATCATGGGTGATGATGCCGGTTTGCACCCCAACATCCCAATGTCTGAAAGAAGATCCAAAGCATACTTTCTCTGAGAAAGAACAACACCCCTGCTTCTACGGGCAACCTCAATCCCAAGAAAGTATCGCAGAAATCCAAGGTCCTTCACATCGAAGGCCTTCCCAAGGTCTATCTTGACCTGCGCAGTTCCAGAAACATCATCACCAGTAATAATAATATCATCAACATATACCAGAAGGATGGCACACTGTCCAGAAGTATTCCGTCGAATAAAGCAGGTATGATCAGAATGACACCTGGTGAACCCCAATCGTACGACTACATCACTGAAGCGAGAGAACCAGCCTCGTGGCGACTGTTTCAGTCCATAAAGAGACTTATGCAGTCGACATACCTTTCCAGCATACTCCCCCTCACCACGAAAGCCCGGTGGTGCATCCATATAAATAATCTCGTCCAGATCACCGTGAAGAAACGCATTCTTCACATCTGGGTTATGGCAGCAATCGTTTGATGTCGGTGCAGCAGTCGGTGCTACTGGGTTATGGCAGCAGTCGTTTAATGGTGTTGCTGGGTGCTGGTTGTTGTTGGTTTTGACTACGTTTTGGAGTTTCGGTGTTTCAGTGTTGTCAGTGTTTCGGTGGAAGGCAGTCGGTTTCGGTGTATGTTGCTGGTTGCTGGTGGCGGCACTAGTTATTGAGTGGAGGCTGCTGGTTGCTGGTGTAGGAGGCTAGGGTTAGGGTTAGGGTTAGGGGCTTAGGTTTTGGCTCGGATACCAACTAGAGAAATATGTGAGTCAAAAAGGGATACTCAAATTAAGAGTAGAGCCCCATATATATATCCAAAAATAATACAGATTTAAACATCCTTATAGTTTAGACAAAATATAAAAATCATAGTAAGGGTAAAAATGAAAAAAAAAATCCTAATAAACTAGACTATCTATACTCCAACATAAACATACATTATATATTTGCCGAAGGCAATTTTGAGGGATCAGCTAGATGGTATAAGTTTGATTCTGATTTATGAACGATCTATATAGCAACTTTCACAAGAGCTACTGGTGGTACTCTCTGCTTCATAATTTGTTGACATCTGATGCAGGTGCGCTTGATAGGGTATTGCGTTGAGGGTTCTCTTTTCCTGGTCTATGAATACATTGAAAATGGCAACTTAAGCGAACATTTGCAAGGATCAGGTGAGATGACATGAGTAATAACCACCACTGTTGAAAGAATAGTCTATTCAATGCAGTTGTAATTACTGTGTTATCTGTTCCAGGGAGGGACCCACTGCCTTGGTTGACTAGAGTGCAAATTGCCCTAGATTCCGCAAGAGGACTTGAATATATCCATGAGCATACTGTTCCTGTCTATATCCACCGTGATATTAAATCAGCAAATATTCTGATAGACAAAAACTTCCACGGGAAGGTTGGTACAACGCCCCTCTGGTTGTGGTCCTATTCATGTGACTCTGTGCTAACATAATCATAATGAAATAATTATTTTGCAGGTTGCAGATTTTGGCTTAACAAAACTCACTGAAGTAGGAAGTACATCAATGCCCACACGTCTTGTTGGTACATTTGGATATATGCCACCAGAGTAAGATGCTTTTCTGCTCTGTTTTTATGTATTAAGCAGATATCATAATTAGCAAATAATGGGGACGTGAGCTGCTCAAAGGTTCGGATGTAAGTCAAACTAATGGCAACTCTGGTTGTTTGTAACAACTCTCCCAGGTTATTAAGTCAATGGCTAACCTTTCCTTAAGTTGTCCTAAATAATTGAGCATGGTTGATCAGTACACCTCTGTTATCAAGCCTTAATTAAATATCTCAGACTCTTTGGTGATCTTTTGGACCTGCAAGCAATTAACTTACAGATAAGTTATAGATGCCAATTGAAACCTAGGGTAAAAATTAAAAATAGTTCAAGCTGTTGCCATAAATATTTTCCGTGAAACCACAAGTTAGAAGTTTGAGTCCGGAAATTAGAGATGAGGTACGCAAAAAAAGTTGTTCCACACTTGTCGATTAAGGGGCCATGATTTCTCAGGAGTGGGGAATATCTGGGAGAAGAAGACTGGTCCGTGCGAGACATAAGACTAAGTTTAGTGAAGTCAGAAAAGTTTCTAATGAAGTGAGCATGATTACCTAGAATAAAAAGTAAGGCATCTTTATTGAAATTGAATGGAACACACATGGTCCAATTCTGTCCAAGGAATTCTGATACTTGATTTCCTGTTTTGTTTCTAGTTATGACGTTTTCTGAGATAGATATATTGTTTAAAGTCTTCATTGAAGTAATATATGAAAAGAGAAGAAAATTCACATAGCTCACCAAACCTATTTTTATCAGTTTTCTTTGAGAGGTTTTGGTGGTCATTCTGTTTTGTCTATAATTCAATGTGATTCTGGTATTTCAAAGTGAATATGTCTTTTAAGTTGTAAGAGCATCAAATCCGAACCCAAAATTGTTGTAAATAATATGTGCATCACTTGGGTACATTTGCAGATATGGTGAAAAACTAGATGCATTGATCTTTGTGTTTCAATTCCATAGATTCAGCTTCTTTAAATCATCATTCTTTGTTAATGCCGGGGCCATATCTTCCTGTAGTCTAGGATCGAAGCAAGTTTTCACCGTTACATAAACATCCACTTTTTTTTTGAGGCCATGTTTTTGCTACATCAGAAAAAATTCATCGTGGTTCTCACAATTTTATTGCCTTGAACAAGATTTGCCCCTCCCTTCCTTGCCATACATACGTCTTAGGTTCAAATGTCCAGACCATCCAAATGACGATCTCTTTTTTTGTTCTTGGGGAATTGTATGAGTTGTAAATTTGACACTTCCATCCTCCTTGAGAGTGTATTTCCAAGGGAGATGTTGTGCTATCCCTTCTAGTTGAAAAAGAGATTGCTGTTAGTTTTATATTCTTCCAGGCAATTGGTAAACTTACACGACGCTTTTGTGCAGATATGCTCAGTATGGCGACATTTCTCCTAAGGTAGATGTGTATGCTTTTGGGGTTGTTCTTTTCGAACTAATATCTGCCAAAGAAGCCATTGTCAAAGAAAATGATTCTATTGCTGAATCGAAGGGCCTTGTTGCTTTGGTAAGCAATCTTGCTCCTCTCTTGCTTTGAATATTAAAGAATGGGTAAAAGAGAGGCCTAAGCTCTCATGAGCTTTATTTGTTTTGGAAGTGAATCCATAGGAATAATTCAGACTTCCAAAGCAGATAGAGAGCTGATGAGGGCTTATTATACATGACATGTTGGCTTTTCTTGAATACTGTGGATAAATGGGATGCTCCTGAGGGGTGCACTCTTCTAGGAAATTATGCTTAGCCGAGAATGTGGATTTGAAAGCACTCTATGTGAATGTATTCCAAAATTTTGTTCAGCTCAATTCTATAAGCCTTTTGATATCTGGCAGGCTGCTAGTGGCTCTTAGCCATCTTATGGTACTAGCATAATCTGGCATATAGACATTAGCTAATTGTTATTGTGCATCTGCCGCTTGACAGTTTGAGGAAGTTCTTCATCAGCCAGATCCTGGAGAAGACCTTTGCAAACTGGTTGACCCTAGGCTTGGAGATAATTACCCCCTCGACTCAGTCCGCAAGGTGCAACATTTCTTTGTGAAAACTAAATAAACATTACAGTTCTCTTCATTATTCCTTATTCTTATAAAGACTCGTGGTCTATTTGGTCACAGATGGCTCAGCTTGCTAAAGCCTGCACGCATGAAAATCCTCAACTGCGGCCAAGTATGAGATCTATTGTGGTTGCTCTAATGACTCTTTCATCCACAACAGAGGATTGGGATGTTGGCTCTTTCTACGAAAACCAAGCTCTCACCAATCTAATGTCCGGGAGGTAGTACCAAGAAAGTTCCATTGTACTCAAACTTTTTATGCCTCGCACGAGTTTCTTTGCATGTGAAACATATCGAGATTGAGCTGTTCAAGAATCTCAAACCATATATCCTTTGTATATTGAAGTTTTGCATGTATATAAATTGAATTTTTTTTGGGTTAGTTCCATTAGCTGGTGTTTCGTCTGAAAATATGAATTCTGGTGGCTTAAAGAACTCTTTATGATTCAGCAGCAGAACATAGTGGCACCATACAATAATTTCATAAGTGTGCCCATTTGGATGCCTGCGGATGATGAGCGAGGGGCCTTGGCCCCCCACCCGCAACATCAACCCTCAGACCATTGGCGCGGGATCAAGTCCCCTAGTATGGTGTACATATAATTTAGTGCTCTCTTCTGAAAAAAAGTCGAAAAAATGTAAACCATCCTTCTTCAAGGTTTAATTGTTGAATCTTGATTTGGTTATAGTGACAAGTTGGGAAATTGAAAAATGAAATGCCAAGCATTAACAAACATGCCCACTCTCACGGTAATTGTAAACCCAATTATTTTAAATTTGAATTTTGACAATTTTTTAAAGTCAGACAATGAAAGATTTATTTTTTATGAATACTTTAGTCCCAACATGAATGACCTGTTTTTTACTAGATTAATAAAAGAATTAATTGAAATGTGCGTAAATTAACTTAAACACCCTTAACCGTTGAACAAAAAAAAAAAAAAGAGGTATGTGTCATGCCCAGATAGAAATTGCACTATTGGTGGTTTAGTAGTAAGTCATGTCATTTAGGGTCAATCTTGACTCCTGTGTGATTATCAAGCAGGGTTCAGCCGCAGTTTGTTGTTTGGCTTTGATGGCGATGGGTTGCCATTTTGGGTTAGTAATTATGGTTTAAATCGGATATTCCATAGTGGAGAACCCTCATGGTGACGGCCAAGGGAGTTATACTACCAACTAGTCGCCCTTCCCCCCTTATTCACTAGCAAAATATGTATATCTCCTTGTTAGTCATCATCAATCCACACCTTGTCAAATTTTCAATTGAGTATTTTTTTAATTGTTAACGATGAGAATTGTTCCCCTTCCACAACCTCACCTATAATGGAGTTTAAATCTTAGCACCCGTTCTTTATTCAATTTGGCCAAAATATTGAGAGCACAAGGATTTTTATAATGAACAAACATGCCTGAAAAAATAACAGAAAATAATGAAATTTTCTTTTCTAGTAACTAGTAAATCATAAAATTTAAGAGAAAATGGTGAAAATCTGCCGGGTGATTTAGTATACGAGATTGGTAAGAAAAACCCTCAAGTTGAAGCTATTACAGAAGTTGGGAGGACAACAATTTCAATTCGAGTTGGGTTCAGGTGAAACCCATGAATTCGAGTTCTTAACATGACTTTTGTCCGAATTTAATTCAAGTTAAATCTTTTTAACTCTTACCTTAACTCTAAAAACCTCAACCCTAATACTACTTTTTCAATTTGACCCACCCAAGTTGCATTCTTAATTCCAAACGTCGAATTTATGGTTTTTTTGGAATGGTCTTTACTGGCTTGGAGATGAGGAATGGGAAGTTGGCTCGATTTTAGTTATGGGTGATTTAAGAGAGTTTGATTTTGCACTAGTTACACATGAATTGATCAAAGATGTTAGAATCTACCAATAGTAATGTTAAAAGCTACATCCACTTTAGGAAAATCTGAAATTGTTAGGTTAGTAATGTTTACGAGGGAGGCAAATAGGGATTGATGGTTTGAGTACTACAGATCATATAGTACACCATGGAGGAGGTTTTGGATGATCTTCACATGAGGTTTGGTACCAAGTAACTTTCTATGGCACATGCTAGCCCCTAATGTCTATGGTTTTTTATTATTATTATTATTATTATTATTATTTTGGCTTGGATGACAAGGTAAGTAGGTCCATGAACTGAAAATCAGGGAGGCTGGTCTAAATTCAATGGTCAATGCGTCCCTCGGTATTTAATTGAAGAGGGCGACCTGTTTCTTTATCGTCAAGGCTCAGACTGCGTCTGTGAATGGTGTACGGCCGAAAGTGTTGACTGGCTATCACGTGTTGTCCATGAACCAACTAATAATCCCATCCATGGTCCATCATCCAACTAACACTAATTTTATTCACATCAAAAATCCAAAAAGTAAATAAATAAATAAATAAATAAAAATAATTATACGAGTACGACTACAGTAGCCCTAACTTGTATTTATCATTTTTATCTATGAATCACATTTATTAAATACATGTACAAATTATATATATAAACTTATTCACGTACATTCATGAATGATTTATATTCATAAATTAATCATTATTGTTGTGATCGTGCAGCAATTATGGTGAATAGTAAGGAATCAAACAATTAAGAAAGCAGGAAAAAATAACACACAGAGATTTACGTGGTTCGGCAATGTGCCTACATCCACGAGAGCGAGCGGTTGTTCTTTTCTTTATAGAAGTAGGGTTACATCTTAAGTATTTATATAACCCTAATATGGACGTATTTACAAAAATACCCCTGTACCGTACCGCGGGGGTGTTGCCCCCGCACCCCCAACTTATCAGCGTCCCCTATATATAAATCCCGCAAGGCAGATGCCGTCGCGGGCTCCGCTCCGCTACGTTACGCTTCGCTCCACTCCACTACGCTCCGGCATCTGCCTCTTTGCCATTATGCACATAGCAAAATATGAGCCACACATACTCTAACAATTATTATATATATATATATATATACTAGTTTTATATATACTAGTTATTACTTGTACCTGAAGACACAAAATAATAAACAATAAACATATTTGTATTTATATCTAAAATTAAATCACAAACATAGAAGAGAGATAAATGAATTTAAACATCGGTTATAGTGGGGGTGAGAGATGGTGGGCAGCAATGCTGGTGGTAGGAGACGATGATGGTTGTAGTGGGTGGCAATGACCGTGTTGACGACAACGGTGGTGGTGGTGGTGGCGGCGGCGACGACGGTGGTGATGGTGGGACGGTTTCAAATACTATTTTTTTTTAAAATGTTTATGAGAAATAATTCTTAAAAGTACTTTTAAAAAGTCACTTCAAACACACTCTTAAGAGCCTATTTTTCCTATTAAATTTAAGATGTTAATATTAGCCGTTAAATTAATTTTAAAGTAAAATTTAAAGCGATCTCAACCACAAATAGCAAAAGTCATTTTGTTTATTTTTTTAGATTTGAATTGTAAGTTACTTTATTATATAGATAGTTATACATATGTACATAAGTTGAATACATGAATTCTAGAAAGTTCTAAAAACTTGTAAATAGGACTTTTAAAATGTGTATTTGAATTTTTTAACACCATCCAATACATTGCAAAATACTTCACAACATGAAAGTTAATGCCAAAAAAATGTGTTTTTATTAGTGGAGTTTTGGACATAACCATTTGTCCATAGTTGGTTAAAGTCATACGACGAAACTGTCAGGTTTTTCTATCGAATAAATCATGTATGGCACAAATCAAAAGAGATGGGAGAGTGGAAAAAATATTTATTACAACGGTGATATCATGCCAGTATTATCACGTAGTATCACCAACTAATAATGTGTAAATAAATAACGAAATAGACCCCACATAAACTAATAATTAATTGTTCATGTCAATCAATAACTACTCACTCTTCTTTCATGTAAGCAAATAACTACCTAAATGGAATTTATTTTATATATTTAGGGTTTTATTATTAATTAGTGATATCATGTCAGCACCATTTCATTGAATATTTTCTCTATCTCAGCTTGAATTATTTTATGTGTATTTTAATTTTTTTTGTAATTGATTCTCTATTTATTGAATTTCACCAACAATTATATCCTTTTTTTTTAAAAAAAATGTCTTAATTGTTAAATAAAATTTTAAGTTCAAATTAATGCTTTTATCATAGCTGTAGAATTTTAATGGCATATTAAACGAGTTCCATGGATGATGAATCTGTTTCTTTCTTGTTTTTCTCTTCCAACGAGGAAAAATGACAGCTACATCTCACACACCCATCATTGGCTATCTCACCCTATCTTACAATAACTTATCCAATTATGGAAATTAATCAAAGCTCCACACATGAGATCTTATACTAAGTCCAACACTTTCTACATATTACAAGTAAATATTTCGTACAATTGTTGTATCTTCACATTAATAACACGTGTAATCGTTATTCAGTAATAAAATTTCTCGTGTCAAAAATTAATTATAATGGTCATGCCTTGACTCCTTGTGATTTCGAGGATTTATAACTCAATACGCAACCAAAAATTAATCAAATTATTAAAAAAAATAAATTAAGTATATATGAGCAAGCAAATTGATAATATATAAAGTCTCACAAAAATTCAACTTCCATCTACCTCTTAAACAACTCCAACCAATTATTTCATATTCTTCTAGAACAAGAAACTCTAGGGCACAATTACTCATATTTTTTATATGTGTGTGGGGTCCCAGAAAAAATAAAATATATATACCATACCTTTCTCTTATTTTATTTTATTATACTATTTTCATAAATTTTAGGGTTAATTGTACTAGAAGTCTCCAAAGTTGGGTTTTGTCTCATTTTAGTCTCAATATTTCAATTGCATCATTTTAGTCCCTGAAATATTGAATATATTTCTATATGATCCCTCAAGCAGATAATGTCCAGATTGTTAACGATTTTTTTATCATAAACTTGTTACATAATATTTAAATATAGAAAAAATAATAATTTTGATACGTGTTAAACAAAATTTGGGTAGCTCACGACAAAAAATGTGTTATATAAGTAGCTTTTGACTAAAATTGGGATAACTCATGATTAAAATTATGTAATTTTGGAGTTATTTAAGTAAAAGTTAAGGAAAAATTTGATCAAGAGTTATCAAATTATTTTTTTGTCCATATATAAATATCATGTAACAAATTTATGATAAAAAAATTATTAGTAATCTAGACACTATCTATTTGAGGGATCATTTATAAACATATTTAATATTTCAAGAACCAAAATATTACAATTGAAATAATGAGGACCAAAATAATATAAACACCATATTTTGGACCTTCTGCGCAATTAATCCTAAATTAATTATAATATTAAAATTTTTCAACACAAGACAAAAAAATATTGTTCAAAATCTTATCCACATGCACATACCTCCATATACCATATATGTGTGTGGGTGTGTGATATATGTCATGGGTCCCACAGGCCACAGACATACACTTATAAAAACTCAAATTCTACAAAGTCCACCTATGTTGTGTCTCTAGGTTTTACACCTTGTTTTGGCTGATGGCCATGGAAGACAACGAAGAACAAGTCATTCTTCCATTACAATACCTTTCATTACAGGAGGAGGAAGAAAAAGAAAACTACACCGAGTCAATGACTGAGTCACCACCGAGTCTTGAACAGGTAGAGGAGATCATAGGCTACAAGTTCAAAGATCCAAGCTTGTTACAACAAGCCTTCACGCACGTTTCGTTCACAGAAGAGGAGTGCTCGTCGTACGAGAGATTGGAGTACATGGGTGACTCAGTGCTCAATCTTTTGATAGCAAAGGAACATTATTTTCTCCACCCTGAGTTGCCACCGGGTAAGCTGACTCGGTTGCGGGCCGCCAATGTCGATACCGAGAAGCTCGCGCGTGTGGCGGTGAAACATGGGTTGCATAAGTTTGTTTGTCACCGGAAACCTCTTCTAGACGGACAAGTGAGTAATAAATGTTTGACATGTTTTTATTTCTTTTTTTTTTTTTGGGGTATATTTGTTTTTTTTAAATTAAATATTTTCTGTTTTTCATTTTGAATATGACATATTGATATCCCAATATATATATTTCTTCTCAATTTTTCGACAAACAATTTAAAATTAAAAGAAATAAAAAAAAATATACACTAGTTCATTTTGATCACATCGGGTAGACGAAAGGGGGTTGGTGAAGCTCAAACCGTCGTCCGGTAAGGATATAAGGATGTTTTATTGCTTGTAAAAGATATTTTATTCTTTTTTTTTGGATAAATAAAATATTTTGTTCTTGATAGTCGGTAGGTAATAGATGTATCAATAGTCATTTATAAAATTGGTGAAGTGTTACATGGGCGTATGCATTATTGTATGTGTGATATGTATCGGTTAAACACGAATTTTTAATTCTAAGTGGTATAATTTAGCCTGTTTGTGAGAAAAATGGGAGTTCAAGGCTCTAAAAAAAAGTTGGAGTGGGGTTGAGAATTGTGGGGGCCAAGCAATGAATATGGTGGTATGGACAAAAATTAACAAATATATAGAAAATGACATTTGACTTTGGCCAAAGCCTGTGGAGGTTGCAAGGAAGGTTGTTGGGATTTGCTATACCCTTAGTTGGGGGAAAGGTCTTTGGGAGAATTTTATCTTGCACCCCGCAAGACTTAAAAAAATTTATTTTGCACCCTTAAAGATTATATTTTCTATATTTTATTCTTAATGTATTGAAAGTATTACAATTTGGCCTTTTCATTAATTTCTGTTACTTATTTTGTTAAAAATCACTTCATTAATGTTTACAGAACAAGTAATAGAAACTAATGAAATGATCACCTTTTTAATATATTTATTAAAGGTACAATATAAAAATTTTAATTTTTAAATATGTAATTTTGTCTGGAAAATATAATTTTAGAATCTTGTAAGATATAAAATATAATTTTTTTAACTAATTAACATGTCATTGTCACGCGATTAATATTTGCCACTTTTTATGGTTAACGGTCAATAGAGAATTTAATTCTAGAGAAATTTTCATCAAAAAATTAAAGAAAAATGTATTGCATGACATTTAGATCCCGGATTCTAATTTAGAAAGACGTAAATTATTTTTGTTGAGTGTCAAAACGCTTATTTGATTTACTGATTAATTGTGTGTTTAAAAAAATAAATAAATAAAAAGAAGATGTACTGATTTATTTAACAATGCCAATTGCAGATTCGAGAATTTATGGACAGAATTATGGAATATCCGTTGCATTCCAACGGGTTGATTGATGCACCGAAGGTCCTAGCTGACATTGTTGAGTCTACAATTGGAGCCATTTTCATTGACAGCAGCTTCTCCATTGATACCACCTGGAAGGTTTTTTTTTTTGTCTTTTCACATCCTAGTTATATTTAATTTAAATTTAATTATATTATATTTTTAAAATTAGACTTAAATAAACCGAATTAAAATGTTTAAGATCGAGCTTAATATCTTAGGATTAATCCTAAATTGTTATATCGATCCTAAATAATTCTATTTTGTTATAATTTCGCCAGATTAAGATGTAAACTTTATTTTACGATTGGCACAATACAGAAAAAAACTCCCCGTTCTGTAGTCTTACGAAAATTTTATAAGCTTCAACGTATAAAAAAAACATTGACATAAGCAAAAAATTGGAAAAACAAGCTCTAATTAACTAAGAAATTTTTGGATGAGTTTAACATACGGCATGATAGTGTCATGTGGCGTATATCAGCAATAAAATATTATAAATTCTCAATGAATAGTTGTTATTTATAACTTTGTAAATATTTTTATTTTTTTTGGGAAATATCACTTTGCTCCCCGAAAAATTTCAATTTTTTTACTTTGCATTCTCAAAAATAAGATTTTTCACATTGCGTCCTCAATGTATTAAAATATTGGAAAGTGGTCCTTCTGATAGTTGAGTATAACACATCAAAATCTACTTTAGTTGAGTAATGACAAATTTTTAGTTGAATAGAACACATAGAAATCTACTTTATACGTTACTATCGAAAATATAAATTTGAGTCATAAAATTAAAATTAATTCTTAAATACTATCATAAAAATTAATTTGTAGCAATTTCACCGTCCCTTTATCCTCTCATTTTCGATGTGATATAATGACTATAAAGAAATTATAATCGTAATTAATAATTTCACAGAATATCATAGTAACATTTGTTATTCGATTTTACCGTTATTTTACTTATTTTTGTTCTTTGTTCATTAAACATATCCAATTAAATATCTTTGTTTGTAAAAATAGAATTCATTCATGTGTTTAGATCTATCATGTGTTTAGATCTGTCATGTGATTATTCAATATTAAGCTATTAAGCTTTTTAAATACAATAAATACTATATGTACAGAAATTTTTTAAAAGCTCAAGGGAAAATGTATGTTTTTTTGAAAATCTAGAGGACGATTATAGGATTTTTCAAAAAATGCCCCCTTCACCTTTACACAATTCCGGCCATGCATGTTACGTGGTGTGTTAAACCTATTTTAACATTTTCTCCTTATCAACCGGTATGATTGTGTGTTGAGAGCAGGTCGTGAAAATTTTGTTACAGCCGATAATAACGCCGGCGACGATCCAAACGCACCCAGTGACGAGGCTTTATGAAATTTGCCAGAAAAAAGGATCCCAAATACGATTTGTTGATTTATGGAACCAAACAGGGGAGATCGAAGTTTACGTGGACAATGAGTTTTTGGGAAGAGGCAAATACAGTGCTAAGAAGTTGATTGCTTTGAACAGAGCAGCTGAGAAGGCTTATAATCAACTTGTGGGGAAGAAGATGGGTATGGAACAAGACACTACTATTCAACATGACTGATTGAGTGGAATTGAAATGTTTTTATTCATCAAACACATGCTATTGCTTCTTTCTTTTCTTTTCTTTTTTTTTTTAAAAAAAAACCAACAAAAAAAGGCCTCAATTAAGTGTCGTTTAGACTCATGGTTGTGAGCGAAAACTTTAAATGCACATAGTTGTTCGGAATCATACAATGTGACGTGAAATTAAGACCTTTAGGTAGGGGTTTCGACCGTATCAACTTATGTTTTTATTTTGACTGGCTTACCTTTAGGTATTACAGCACTGAGCTCGTCTCATTCAAGCAAACTTTGGGTATGAAATCATTTTGTATGTAGGAATATTTTTATTTTGTAAAATAAAAAAAACTCAAAAATACTAAAACTTCTTTCTTTCGATGTAACATTTCTCATGTACATTGGTGAGTGACACAATGATTAAGAAATAATAGTATTCTGCAATAATTTATTGATAGTGAGTTCCAACACTGATTGTTAAAATCATATTATTACTTGTCGTGGAAATAAAAGATATAATCGCCCGCCTCGGTGGTGGATGGGAATATATATTCTTCATCTTTTTTTGTTAGACATATGCTCTTTTGCTTACAAGAATTTCATGAAAAATGGTTCAATACCTTTCAATTTGGAACCTCCCTGCATTGCTTCTCTGTTGAGGCTGCAAATTAATGAATCAAGCTGAGTAATTTCAGACCAACTCAATCTAAATCTTGTTTATTTATGAAACAATCCGAGCTTGAGTAATGTTTTTTTGCTAAGGATCGATATTTTTCACATTTCGTATGAGCTAGTTATCTTTGTTCTTTAGATGACATATCTTTAAACTAGCTCGAGTTACAGTAAGTCTCAAAGCTTGAGTGAATAGTCGGCACAAACTTGGACACCCTATAACCCAAAAAAAAAAAAGAAAGTTTTTTTTGCTCGTCTAGGCTTTTGAACACAAACTAAATATCACATGTGTTTATCTAATGCTTTTTAGTTTAGTACAGAGACAATGATATAGTTTTTAGAATTATTGTTTTGTTGATAAATGACGTACAAAGGTGGAGAATCATAATTGTCAATACTCATCGTAAAAGAGAGAAAAAGCTAGATTTTAAACATGGTTTGAATTCGAGTTTAAGCTCAAAACACAAGTTTGCATTAAATTTGTTTCATGAGATAGAGATAATTAAAGCTAGTCCTGAATTTGAATAAAAAATTAAGAGCCGAGAGTTCAATAAAATGTTTGAAGCTTGTCGCGATTCTTGGTTCATACTATACACCCTTTGCAAAATGAATGAATCGAGCTCAAACAGCTTAGTCGTCAACCAGATTTGACACATATGCACTCTCAACCCTGTAAAACTAATTGTGCAAAAATAAAGTTCGATTTACTTATTAGTGGATGCAAATATTTATTACAAAAAGAAGCGTGTGGTTATTAATAGGATCAATTTTATTCTTTTTTATCGAAAAGTTACAATTGATCGTAATTATTTACCATAAAATTGAAGTCTTACATTGTGCATTTAATGTTTATAATTATTATAATGTCATCCAACTCACATATGACAGTGGTTTTCCTTTTAATGGACACACCACATCCTACTCATGAGCAAAAAGAGGCAAAATTATAGATACAAAAAAATTTCCTTAATTTGGTATATATTAATTTACATATGGATAAGCTTATACACTAAATTATTACCAGTCATGGCCCCGTGCTGCATCGCCTTCGCCCTTTATGCTTTATCACCTAGGGCGTTCACTTTATCTTACGAGCAGAAATTATGATATTTCATCTTTTTATTTAATATTTTACATAAGACTTTTTTTTTGATTTAGTCTATCCGATCAAGTGTATTATTCCTACTCTAATTCCGTCCAAAATAATCAAGTAGGAAATCGGGTAAACACATATTTTTTAGTTATTAATTTTTGAATTATTTTGACAATTTAATTGACACCAATTAACTAATACAATAAACCAATAACACTAAAGAAAGTACAATAAATTTGATAATACATAAACAATTACAATAAATCGAACAAGAAAGTCATAAATATTAATACATCATATATAAGAAAGTTATAAACATCAATAAAATATTGGGGTTTCTAAATTTTTAGGGATTAATATATATATATGCAGGTAGGGGTAAGAATACGAAAATTTTGTAGGTATTTTGTATTCTTATCCGATTTTTTGTAGAATACCAAAAGATCTTTCGTTGGCCTATCCAATTCTTTTAAGTAGCTGATTAATAAGATCGGATAGGATAGGATCAAAATTTACAAATAATTAAAAATTTAAACACCCCTTTCACCACCTTCCTTACAATCTCAGATCAATCACACATCAAACCCCCCCCCCCCCCCTCCTCCAAAAAAAACCACACACACACTAAAATACAAGAACTGTTCGTAAAGTTTTAAATATTACAAATTATACGATTCAAATTATGGTAATTACATAAAGTACTAGGAGTGGTGATGAAAATTTTCATATTTCAAATATCACAAGGGCACGTTTTTCTGGGCATTGAACTTGGTTTAATGGTTTCACAGGGATGGTAGTTATTATAGTGGTGATAATTTTTGGCCTAATACGAAAATACGATTCAAAATTGGACTAGCCATTTCTCTACACGAATTCGTATATGACACGATCCATTAATATGAATAATAAATAAGTTAGGTAAATGTCACTTAAGAACAACATAAAATTAATACGATTAACACATTTAAATAGTATTGTAAAAATAAAATGTCAATTTTTTTTATATTTTATCAAGTAATGGCCTAATTCTTGTACAAAAAAAGATATTTTTACTCATTTTATTATTATATTTATTAGGTTAATTTTTATTTTATAGAAAAAGTATGAGCATAAATTTGATTAAGTAATAATAAATTTTTAGACAAAAAACTGAGCATTAAATTTTTTTTTCACGGAATATACGGGACAGCAAAAACACGACACAAAAATAAACATGTGAATACCATACAACACTCTTAGTTAAACAGGTTATATTATAATTGATTAAGGCTCAACACGAACCAAAAATAACACGACACCAACATGTTCCTACCCGATGCGATTGTCGATCTCCTCGTTAAGCTACCAACAGGTTTGAGTTTTAAAGGCTGGTTGGGCCTCATTGAATTCATTTGGGCCAGTGTGCCCCATCAACCACTCTAACAAAATAGTTGTTGAACCACTCTCAAAAAACCAAAAAGCCCAGAACCTTCTCGAAGCCATATCAAGTTCGGTGGGAGCTTGGGAAAAAAAACCAAAACACTGTGTACCAAACCAAACCTTCTTCATCAAGACATCGGAAACTTCAATTCCGATACCTAAACCGAATCGACAACCAAACAAATTACAAGTACTCTCCGAAAATCTATATATATATATATATATACACGTATAGCGGGAGAAAGACAGAGAGATTGAGATTTGAGAAGTTTTAAAGAGAGAGGGAGAGATGGATTTTGAGCTAAGAAGAGCGAGAGAGAAGCTAGAGAGAGAACAGAAGGAGAAGAAAGAGAGGGCCAGGTTGAAATCGGAAAGAGAGAAGAAGGCCAAACAAGAGGCTGCTCGTCAACGAGAGGCCATTGAAGCCGTACAGAGGGCTCGAAGGCTCGATGCCGCCGAAGCCGAACTTAAGGTCATTTTTTTCCCAACGATTCTGTTTTAATTAACTTTTTTGATCAATTCTGGATTAACTTGTTTTTGTCAATTAGGGCTTATGCACTGATGATTTGTTTCTGATATGGAAGAATTTGTTTCTTTTGATTAAATTATGCGATTTTTTTTGGTGAATCTATCTGGAATGATGTGTATTGTTGTTGTTGAATCCGTGAAATTGAACCTGTGAAATGTTTTGGGATGAAATCAAATCATTGATTGATTGCATAATTTGATAGAAATTTCTTAGTAGTGTGTAAAGGAATGTACAGGGGCAAAGCCAGTATTTAAGCATATGATTAATAGGGTTGATACTGTAATATTGGTACTTTAAGGGGTTGCTAACAAGTTCTGAAAACTCGGGATGCCATACCCCCTTTGGTCTCCATGTAGCTTTCTCCGGGAAATGTAATTAAACTGTATAAGGAATATATAAATGTTTAAGAATTTTAGTAGCCATGCATTTGATGATTTATTTCTGATATGGGATTTAAGCTTAAGCACTTGAGGATTTGTTTCTCATATGTAGATAGCTTAATAGCATATGAAATAGGAACTTGCGACATTAGTCCTAAACATCTCTTTCTGTACACTCATGGAATTGAGTTCACTTGTTGGGAAAAGAGATTAAAGTGTTCATGGATTAACCAGAAACCCACAACTTTATGGTAACCAAATAATAAACTACCACGCCAGCAAGTTGGCAACAGAGCCTATACATGCTTCATAAAGGCAAAGGCTGAAGCAGGGGATATCTTGCCCTTCTCGGTCTGCAACTGAGTCTTCTCTCCAGCCATCTTAACCTTCCACCTGTTCAGCGTGTCTCTGCCTTCATCGAATGTCATGAATGTTCTTTGTACCCCTTGTAAAATTTGAATGTGAATGAGTTTTGCAAATTTGTGCATGAAGTAGGAGGAGGAGCCAACATACTTATTTTAGAGAGAGGACAAGGATGTGATATCATATTCTTTGTGATATGACTTAAAAAATTCAATTCGTGAAATACCATGCATGTTATTATTAATCTTTATATGAAGTCTTTGACAAAAAATTCAAAAAAATGAGAGAATTTCAGAAATCAACCAAGACACTCTATGGTTTATTTCTTGCCTTAGTCAGTTTTCTATGGTCTGATCAGATGGCAGTTTAGGCTGGATTGAAGTACCCAATGAGCTTTCATTCTTTTGGCTAATGGTTTCAACCCTCAAAACCAGGAGAGGTCTTGGGATGGAAAACAAGAGTCGAATGGAAAAGATGGGGCAGTGCAGTTATGAAGGCTAGTATAGGAAATATGGGGACTTATGGCCTAAGTGAGTCTTCACCAAGCCAATATCATCTTCAAGGCTAATGGTTGGCATGGCAGTTAGTTATAGAATCACTTTAAAAACATATCTATGGTTA